AAGCCCCAAAAAATAGAATGAAATTGGAGATAGGTACCAACCAGAATGGGTCGTCGGAGCCCGACCCGAACTGATGAAAGGCCATAACGGCCCGAACTTTGAGCCCGAAACGCTTGGCCATTTCCACAATCTCCAAGTAGCCTCGCCAATTGTAGCTCCTGGGGAATTCCCTCTCCACCAGCCCCCACCAGACCTCCATCACCACCCCCTCCACCCCCGCCGCGGCCAGCGCCCGGAACGACTGCGCCATGGCCCTCTTCCGGCTCATCGTCTGGGCGGTGGGGCCCACCGCGTCCGGCGGCAGCGTGACGTACACCGGGAACGCGCCCCTCCGCCGCCGCTGGCTGTTGTAATTGAGCTCGTACACCAGCTCCCCATCCGAAGAGGCGTTGAGGCGGGACGAGATTCCGGGCCGGATAGAGACCCGCTTCGACCCGGCCCGAGACGAAACCTGCTGCGACCACAATCGGCGATGAGTCGACTCGGAGCGAGTGGTGCAGCAGAAATTGGGAGCGGACGGGGAAGCGATCGCCATTTGCGCCCAAATCAGAATTTGTGCATCTATACGCCACACAATTCAGCGTGCCCGTGTGTGTAATTTTTTTTTTTTTCCTTTTTCAATTTTTTTTTTTTTGTTTTTTTCTTTTTGGAGGTGAAATTGGGATCACAACCTCACATGTTTGTACATGTTTATCAATATATATATATAACGGTAAATTACGAAAAAAACCCCGCAACTTAGCCTAAATAACGAAAAATACCTCCATCTATCCGTAACAATCAAAATCATCCTCTGTTAATTGTTGATCAATTTTTTTAAAAGAAAATGTGCTAAGTCTACTATACATTTTGTTAAATAGGTGATGAATAAAAGAAAATATCTGAAATTGTGTAAAGTCTATTCAAATCCGTGAAAAATTACACTTTAAGGGGTTGGTGTAAGACGGAAACAAACATCAGGGATTTTTTGGTAATTACGAATAAATGAGTGTGTTTTTCGTTATTTAGCTTAAGTTTAGGGAGTTTTCTTAATTTACCCTATATATATAGTTAAATAAATAAATAAATAAATAGTGTTAAAGTACAGCAAAAGCGTTGGACATAGATGAATCTTTAATGAGGAGTAAAATAAAGTGTGTTGAGCTTACGTGAGTTTATTAAAATAATCTACACCACAAATTCGGAGTGACGTCCCTAAATTGTTCGAAAAGGGAATTTAGAGAACCAAAAATGGATATTTGAAAGAAAAGTAAACTACCTATTTTAAGGTCCACTTAAGTCCCTCGGACTCATCCGATGCCCATTTGCACGGGCAAAAGTTCAAACGGAATTTCTGATTTTTGTCGGTTACGATTTTTTTTTAGGGTACATTACAACCACTCCTGATGTATGATCAAATTACGAAAACCCTCATCTTGTTTGGATAATTACAACCATCTCCTCAACTTTTCAAATTTAGTGGAATCTTCGAGATTATATGGAATATTATCACTTTTGTACCCGTTTTATCCCATTTGAACTCTACAGTTTGAAGCAAGATGATCATAATATGTGTTTTTTGGCTTGTATATATCTGATTGTGGTGCATCGGAAACTGTATTTTTAAACAAAATGAGTACCAACTAGAGCACATTCCACGGAATCTAGATGATTATGTTGAATTTGACACCATAAGGGTGGAGGTGTAAGAAAAAAATATAGTTGAGGGGGGTGGATGTAATTATCCAAACAAGGGGGTTTTTTTCGTAAATTGACCATACCTCAGGGGGTGTTTGTAGTTTATCCCTTTTTTATATATATATATTGGAACAATTTTTTATATTCCAATTTTCAAAAATACAGTTTTTGATTTTTCTGATTTTTTTTTTATAGGAATCATAAATATATGTAGAGTTTTTGTAATTTTCGATTTCCTTTGATCTTAATTTTCGAAAAACAAATTCTGAGTTTTCTAATTTGTTATACTGTTGTATGTAATCTATAGGGTAAATAGCA